TGCACGTACCATTAGTATTTAATTAAAGATTTATAATCAGAAGAAAAAAAAAGAAAACTAATACTTCACACTTTTTTACCTACTGTAGAATATAAGGTGGGTGGTGAATGCAGCACAAAACATTAACCTGTACCTGTACAGTATAAGTACCATCAAGAAAATTCAAAATCAGAGTTAAAATAAAATACAAAATACAATTTTAAAGAAAAACTGTAGTAATTTTTTTCCCATTAAACCGAACACAAAAATATTATCCTAGTAGAGTTCTGTAACATGTTCCTGATGTGGTGAGGTAAAACATGTTAAAAATTTCAAGCATCTATCAACACCATATGCCTTCAGCCATTTGAGCAACCATTACTTGGTTGTTGGCAAAGGAATGTATAATACTATGAATAAGATACATAAGGCACATCTTCCAATAGCCTGTAGCAGCAAGTTGACACTCCACCTCTGTCATAATTTAGTACTATACTGTACAGTACTGTTAGTATATATACCCTGTACTACAGTACTTTCCCTTCTTTCAAACCAAGTTTATTTTTAACATTCAAATAAAAAAAATCCTCTTTGGGTGAATGTTCTCAATACCGTTCTTATGTAATTGCTGTAAATACTCTGGAACTGAGGCATTAATTGGCAATGGTACACATATGAGCACAGAAGAAAATATACAAGGAAGACAAAATATTCATTCTTTCTTAATATTCCTCTTTGGAAGTCTGGCACGAACAACAAGGTTAAGCTAATGGGGAAGTTCACTTAGGCAGATGTAGAATTTTACCTATTGACTAAGCTTCATCCATTGTTGACACACTTAACACCTACTATAATCTGTAGAATTTCACTATTTATTTTTCTGTTTCATAGAATGTAATTTGCTGATTGAGGGGAGGTAATTCTCTTAACCAGCAACCAATCAACTGTATGTGGAGATCATTCGGTATGCTGGTTGTCCCTATCCATGTTTCTCTTAACTTAAACTCAACACAATATTAGGCCTTTTAAAAACAAAAATTATAAATCCTTACACAACACAACAATATGAAGATAAGCAAAATTAAATTTTTTCTGGAATGCAATATTTATTCGGCTCTTCCCTCGCCGACACTGTCTGTCACTTTACTAACTTAACACTGTCCTCGATGATATGTGATGATGTGATGACAGTGAATATGATGAAAATGGCCATGAGTGTATGATCAGTTGACTAATATATACAATTGTCTAGTTCATAACAGAAAAATAAAATTATGTACATCTATTTGTATTACAAAACTTCACCTACAATGTTGAAGAAATGTGACAAAAGGAAAACAAAAAAATTAAGGAAACAGTCTTGTAAAAATAAACATTTGAGCCTAAGTGATTACTGCAATAATACTGATGCACTTGTATATGTTGAGCCAGATTTTTTTTTTTCTGTTCATCTATATTTTCCACGTTAATACACTCCTACTTTTCCCTAGTCGTCGTTGATTAATTATCACTCGTTTAGACTCCTCATCTCACAAGTAACGCATCACGTCAGAGTACAGTACTTTTTTCCCTCCAGTTTTTTTTTTTTTTTTTTTTTAAATCAAGGAAGACCGTATCCTCACTAAGAAATAAACAAGCTGCTCCTGAAACGTCCTGTTTTCTACAATTCCTCATGATCAGAGAGGCTTTAAGTATATGAGGACAGCTGGGGTAAGACTTTCACTCCTGCCATCTGCTGCTCCTCGACACACGAGTTAGCGGGCATTTAATAACTCCATGAAGTTGTGATGTGTTTTTAGACCTGTTCTATGTCATGGCATCACAATTCTATGTTATAAAAGAGGAAGAAAGGTGGAAAATGATAAGAGAAATATGGAAAAGGATGAAGTAAACAAAACTGACTACATTATTTTCAGTGTTAGATAAATATGGGGATGGTTGCTGCGAACCGCAATCCTCCAATTGGAAATAAAAACCTGATTGGGAACTGGAGGATGAAAGATGAAAGCATGGTTTGAAGGACATTCATTTCCCAGGTGATATAAACATAGCAGCACTAACATCATGCACTGCCTGGCACTGGTCCTCTGCTCCAAAACATTGATTAATATCAACACAAAATTAACAATGTCTTAAAAAATGCTTAGCTGCATTATTAATGTAAATAATTCAGACGAAACTTAAGAATTTGGCATCAAGTAGGCTAAATGCAGAATTTGTTTTACAAATCTGAGGGAGTTGGGGAGAATATTCACTTTAAAATATTTTTGTATTTTAACTGTTAATTGAACAACTCGGCCAGTATGACTAATATAGTACTGGAAAACGTCTTTATGTTCACTTTTCTGTCATGAAGTATCTTGTGGACTTTCAGACAACAGCATGAGGTTATTCACCTGTCTGCAGGTAGTGACCAGACATCAGGGTGAGTAATACTAGACATCATAAAATTGTCACTGAACGTTGAGAAACTAGGGGCCATTTATGGGACACGCAGGAAACATACGAGAGTTTAATATGAGCAGAGCGTCAGTTATATACTGTACAATTCTTTAAGATAAAGAGAATTTTATAAGTCCTTTAATATGATAGTACACAAGTTAACATGCATAGCGAAGGAGCGGTATATAAGATCGAGACAGGACTGTACGTAAATATTATACGAGTGAGGGATTGGGAGGGAGATGGGGATGAATACTAATGAGGGAGGGGGATAGGGATGAATACTAGTGAGGGAGGGTGGAGATATGAATGAATACTAATGAGAGGGGGAGATAGGCATGAACATTGGTGAGGGAGGAAAGGGGGAAGATAGGCATGAATACTAATGTCTAAACACCCATATGAACATACACACAATAATAAGTTCAGACAGACTCAAGACGGTACCATTGGTGTCCTGTGTTACCATAACCGATGAATACTATATTATCAAACCGGTTAAATAAGCTCGGTGGAAGAACTGGAAATCTTTACTGACTAGAAATAGGCCTACAAGAGAGAGAGAGAAGTCACCACAGTTCTTTTTATTGAAATTCTTGCTGTTTAATTTAGAGAGAAGAGGCAGATGAATGTTGGATTTTGTAGAGAAGAGGCAACTGGAGGAGGAGCAAGGAGATCATTGGCAAAGTGAATGAAGTGGGTGGATTCATCATTAGGTTGTTGGTCAGATTAGGTCGTAGTTTTACAAGGGATACCATTTTGGGGTTGTAGGAACATGGTCACCTGGTTTTGGTGGTGAGATGATGATGTTTGTGGTACAGTAAGTCTGCGCTTAACGTCGTTACGCTACAGTACGTCGCTAAAATTTAGAGACCAAAAATTTGTTTAACGTCCCGGTGATCCGATACTATACTATACTGTATAGTTTTCGTCGTCACAGACTACATTTTACTGTGCATCACCCTCTCTCGTCTGGCCGCGCTATGCTCTTGGCTTGGCGCAGTCTCAGTGAATCACCACCCTCCTCCTCTCCCACCCTCCTCCTCCTCTCCCGCCATACTCCTCCTCTGCTTCACAACTCACCACACACTCGCTCTACCACCTCTGCCCATCGGTGAGTACCAATGCAATTTTAGTAGTTTTATATGTATGCACTATTTTCTATAGAAATGGCAATGATTTTCTGTATATGTAATGTGTTTCATGGGGCAAAGGGAGGATCAAGAACGTAACTCCCGTATTTTATGTATTTCTTATGGGGAAAATTGATCCGCTTAACGTTGTTTCGTATAACATTGCGTTTTTAGGAACGTAACCTCGACGTTAAGTGAGGACTTACTGTACTGTGGAGGAGGTGGTTGTGGGGTAGTGAAGAATGTGTGGTTGTGGTGGAGTGGTTTGGTGTAGAGAGATGGTTGTGAGAGGGAAGTGTAGGAGTGGCTGGGGGTGGTGAAGTGGCGGGGTTGGTGAAGTGGCTGGAATAGCGAGGAGGAGGTCAAGATAGTGGGGATGTGATTGTGGTAGAGGAGAGGGTTTTGAATAAAAGATGGTGGAGTCAAGGCAAACAAGAAGAGAGAGTCACCTCAAAACCGACACCAGAACATACACAGAGAACAGACATGAGAACAGTATATGGAGTTACGCATTGAAGTATCACTCACTGAAGTTCTTTTTTCTTTCTTTGTATTACAGTTTGTACATTTATACAATTATTTGGTCACCATTGAACTATTGTTTTCTTGATTTTCACTGAACGTTTTTTTTTTTGTAACATACTGTATTGAGGTTCCTAACGTTCAAGAAATGCATTAGAAGAGCAGGAATCGGAGAGGAATGTATTTGACTAAAATTAAATTACGAGTCTCAAAGAGTTGGGAATCATACCTTTGAGTTTTACATCCAGTGAGAATCAAATGAGATGACCTTGAAGCATGAGATCTGAAGTTCATGAAGATTCAAATTGACTAGACTCCATTGACAATCATTGATTCTTTGAAGATAAGCCTCAGAATGGCCCAAGTCCTTCAAGTGAATAATGAGCTCTGGGAATGATGGATTTTGAAGCTGGCTGAGGGACAAGAGAGTTTGGAGATTAGTTGAAGATTCTTAAAGGATTTTTTCCCAGGTTGTGGATCGTATATGAATATCTTCGCTATCTGTCTGGGTATTCAAAGCCAGCAATTTCAGTGATGCAGGTAAAAATTTTCAGGAACAAGCGAGTCTTACTCTCTCTCACTCAAGAGTAATCCTGACGCAGTTGATATCATTGGAGACATTACTGCCAGAAGGTGGACCTCATTAATAATTTGTTGTGTCAGGTTGTGGATCATACTGGGCACTTTTCATCTCAGTGTATGGATCCTCAGGGACTTGATTAGGTTCAATGTGGCTCCTATAAGGAACTAATTTGTGCCTGGCCATAGGTCCTTCGAGAAAAGTCACTGCCAGACCATGGATCCTTGGAGACTAGTCACTGCTTGGCTATGGATCCTTGGACACTAGTCACTACCCAGCCATGGATCCTTGGACACTAGTCACTACCCAGCCATGGATCCTTGGAGACTTGTCACTGCCTGGTCATAGGTCCTTGGAGAGCAGTCACTACCTGGCCATGGTTCCTTGGAGATTAGTCACTGTCAGGCCATGGGTCCTTGGAGACTAGTCACTGCCAGGTCATGGATTCTTGGAGACTAGTCACTGCCAGGATGTGGATCGCACTGGATTAAACTGTCCTGAAGTATCGAACGCGTCGGTTAAGGAGGAGCAAGACAGCCTGGGTCAGGTTGGTGAGGAGTGAGACTGCCAATAGCAGCCCCAAGTAAGGGACCAGCCAGAAGTAGTAGAATCTGAAACATGAACCTTTAGTTTTTGCCAGTGTCCTTAACTTGTGTTATTACAGCAAAAATTTATCAAAATGACCAGTGGCTCATACAACAAGGACCAGGATGACTTATGGTATTATAAAAAAGATCGGAAAAACTAAGGACCAAGTTCACAAAGGGACCCCAAGAACCAACATGCCTACTGACTGATATGAGAAATTCAGTACAGTACAAACATTGACTTATGGTATTTGATCTGGGCTTAGGTGATGCGGGAGGCCCTGGAGTACCCACCTCTTGCTGAGGACACCCTCCAGATCAGTGCCCTGGTGCAGCTTGAGGAGGCTGAGGCCCAGTTGGAGCTGTGAGCCCTCCGTCACTGCCTTGGATTTGAGACATGCCACGTACGAACTGCTACCGGTGTCCATGCAGTCCTTGTGGTGGTACAGGTGAAAGAGGCTTGGGTCCGGCGCCCGGATCACCTGTAAAAGGGGATAAAGAGGGTGAGTGGGTGGAGTGGTGGTACAGGTGACAGTCTTTGTGGTAGTGGTGGTACAAGTGACAGTTTTTGTGGTGGTGGTGGTACAGGTGGAGTCTGGTGGAACAGCTGAAATATTTGTATCTATACACGACAGTTTACAGACTTAGATCAAGAACTTCACATCATGCCACTTTTACCTGAACATTGTTGGCCTGTATGCAATGGTGCTGGGAATGAGAGAGAGAAAGGTTCACCAATATTAAGACTTTTACTTACAATAACATCACAGTCATTCTACCATATCCATCCATTGCTCCCTCGCTTGACCATATCTCATTTACATCACATCACCCATTACCTTAATATTGGTGAGCTTGAGGAACTGCTGGTAGAGGGCCACGTCTTCACCGCCCCACGTGCGTATGTCTGGGAAGCCGCCCGAGACATGGTAGTCATCGCGGAACATACACGCCATCCCAAAACCGAATGTCCTCCAGAACCCAGACTGTTCATCCACTGCCAGCTGCTCATTCACCGGCGGCACTTTCTTGTCGAACAGTGGGTACACCAGCTTAGGGTTGTACAGTGAGAACACCACTGGGTAGTACACCTGTGTGATGGGGAGGAGGGTCAGTATGCACACCAGCAGGAAGTACTTCAGTGTCTATGTAAGGGAGGGGGGGGGGGCATGTGTACCACGCAAAAAGTACTTAAATGTAGTGAGGAAAGGAAAGTTGTTACGTACACCGGCTTAAGAGTTGTAGAGCGAGAACCTCATATCTTAGTGGTTTGTTTCAGTGACACCAGTTAAAACATAAATACAGTAAGCTTAAATGTATAGTATTGATATCGATTTGGGGACTTGTATCACAGAGTTCAAATTACATTTTCACTTCTGTTCTGTCTCTCGTTACTGTACTACTAAATTTTCCTACTATCTTATTTCTTATAACATGTTGTGTCTTTACACTCCATAAATTGTCATTATCATATTTTTTTCAATTTGATTAGTTCCTGCTCTAAAAAATTAATAGATTTCATGGTTTTTTGTTTAAATTAGTATCCAGAGCTTCACATCCAAGAGCAAGATTACAGTGATATTGAAGTTGATTTTTGACAATAACTCATTATTAACTTGATAATGACAATAGTGTATCAGAAGACTGAAAGTAATGATGATTTATAAACTCACAAATGGGAGACAAGTTAAATGATAATTGGGGATAAATGAATGTGTAGTTGTGTAACGTCCAAGCCAGATCGTGTCTGGGTAAAACGTGTATTTTCTCGACTCGCCTGATGACCCTTTTTGGTGTTGCTCCTGCAACGGCTAAAGAAATCAGAATGCATGAGGACATCGACGTCACAGAAGAAGAGGAGCTCCCCCATGTACTTGGAGTCCTTTTGCTGCGCCCCAATGTGGAGTCCGCGCCCTCTGGAGAAGTTCCTCTCCTCCAGGGGAATGAAGGACCACTTGAAGTTGGGGAGGGAGGAGAGGCGGCTGCTGGTGACTTCACGAGCCTCATCAAGGAAGTCGTCGGAGAAGTAAACGACGGTAAGGGAGAGGTTGTGATCGTAAGGGAGGACGTTCTTCACCAGGTGGTCTAGGAAGGTCGCATACTTGGCTACACGTCCCTTCAGCGTCACCACCATGTTCACCACCTGTGGGAGAAGAGTGAGATACACTTTCACAACTTGTGATGCAACAGAAAGTCACTCACTATCTTTGGCGTGAGAGAAAGAGAGACTTTATCACCTACTAAGGGATGAGAGAGTTTTTCAATAAATTCTTGAATAATAATCGTTTTTCGCAACTTATTATCCACTCTCATACCGAAACACTGATGTTTCCGGAGAAACTTTTACACTTTTCTGTAAAATAGTTGATTGGGTCACTTTACATTCACACTACGAGAATAAAAGTAATTTCAGTACAGGATGAACATTTCATAATTGTGTTTTTAATTCAAAGACGCCGTACCGATGTATCTGTAATCCCTCTTATATTCCCTGGTGTTGTATACTGTAGAGACAAAGACTAGTTTACATAGAAATGTTGTACTCTTGATGCAGAAATTTATAAACAATCTGAGCGTTGAACTATTAAACTATCAACTAAATTACCCGTGAACTTTGAAATTATGTGTAATCCAATAATTAAGTATAAGGTCCCGTCTATTCAGTACTGATCAGTGGAGGAGGACCCCTTCAATATGCAGCAAAATCTTTTTCTTGGATTCAGAGAAACGGGATTCTCTCTGATGATGAGAAGCCCAATGAACCGTTGTGCTTGTAAATGTGTGTAGAGAGAGAGATGTTTAATATTTCCCGTGGGTCTATGAGGTAACATCATTATCACACAGTAAACAAGAATAGCCAATACTCAGCCCAGAGGAGAGAACACAAGGTCAAGCTGTTTGTGTTATGATGGGATATAAACTATCTGCTAGCGACGAATACAAGGACGTTTGGTACACTACATAACACACACACAAAAGCTGAAAATGAGTCAAATAATTCTCAACCACTACAAACTAATTTCACAGTTTTAACAAATTTTCAACAAACTCTCAACCAACGCTAACTAATTTACACAACAAATTTGACTAGTTCTCAAAAACTTTCAGCCAATGCTAACTCATTTCTCAACAAACTTAACTAATTTCAACTCATCAACATACTCAAGTCTTAACTATTGCTAACTAATTTCACAACAAACTTAACTAATTCTCAATACGCTCACTCAAATCTCAACTAATGATAACTAATAATTTCACAACAAACTCAACTAATCCTCACCGTCTTCTGGTCGACTGTGATGGAGCGGAGGACCTTGGTAGCTTCCAGTTTTTGGAAGAGAGTGACTCGGCTAGTGACGTCAGAAGCTTCGTCCTTGTATATTAAGTCATACTCGACGCCGTCAGGTAGCCACCGGTACCTGGAAGTGGATAAGTGGTGTGGTTAGTGGCGGTGGAGGAAGGGGATAGTTGTTGTGGTGGAGGAAGGGGTGTTAGTGGTTGTGGTGGAGGAAGGGAGTAGTGGTTGTGGTGGAGGAAGGGAGTAGTGGTTATGGTGGAGGAAGGGGATAATGGTTTTGGTGAAGGAAGGGGGTAGTGATTATGGTGGAGGAAGGGGATAATGGTTTTGGTGAAGGAAGGGGGTAGTGATTATGGTGGAGGAAGGGTAGTAGTTATTGTGTGTGTTAGTGGTCGTGGAGTAAAGGGTGATGATTAATTGATTGTGGTTATTACAGTACATCTCTGATGATGAAAGAGAGAGAGATCACCTTTCTAGTGTTGTACGGTACTCTCTCTCTCTCTCTCTCTCTCTCTCTCTTTGGCACGACACTCGAGGTAAGCGAGTATTGCAATTATATACACGTGATAAAGGCTAACATGATTCCTGGGTTGGTCGACGTGCCACACTCCCAACGAATCACTAGACACGTGCCACTATACCTACGAATCACTAGACATCCGTACCACTATACCTACGAATTACTAGACACGTACCACTATACCTACGAACCGTTATTTTGTGCGTGTCATTGTACCTATGCACCGCTGAGGGACTGAGGTAGGCTTATTTCCCAGTCTCTATTAGTAGGGACAATATGCTCCTCTTTTCCTCCCCTCTACCTCGCACCCCACTGTTGTATATATATAAACAGAAGACCTTAATTCACCGGACGCCACGCACGCACACGCACGCACACACCTACAAAAGGCCGCCATTTGAATTATACCGTGTTACTACCTGTTATATGTCTTACCTATCGACTGTTATTTGTTTTGGCTTTCGTAAACTAACTTGAATTTCCTTTTACCGATTCCCTTCAAGTTTGGGAATACTGTTACTAATATGAAACAGGCTATCCTAACCTGACCTTTATTCAACTTAATTGTATCAAATCTTCTTCACATCCCGTTACGTTCTGCCTGGGTGCCAATAACAGACAAATGAGAATGTAAATGCCACTTTTGTTAAATCATTCTAACTTTTTTTTTAGCTGGTTGTCTTTGGTGTACATCATATGAAACGTTTTTAAGGTTTAACAACTGACTAAGGTTGGGTTGGGTTGAGTTTGGTTAGGTTATGTTGGGTTAGATTAGTTAAGAGTTAGATTAGTTTGAGTTGGGTTGGGTTGGGTTAGATTAGTTTGGGTTGGGGTAGGTTGAATTGGGTTAGGATTTTTTAAGTGTTCGTTATTTTCTGTTGCTCCCTATGTCATTTTAAAGCGTTCCAATATTCTTCCAAAATTATATTTATTTACTTTAAAGGGATATTTCTTAACTCTTCTAAAATATTGTTAATTTCCTTAACTACTTTCCATATGTTCTTAATTACTTTGAAACCACACTGCTTTCTAAACTCCAAACCCCCTTCTCATTTTGCCCACACAGTCACTATGTTATAAGTAGGTTTTTGGTGCGTCTTACCTGCCGCTGACGAAGGCGGTGTTGGGGTGGAGCTGCGTCAGGTAGTGTTTTGCGGCTTCTTTGGCTGAGGTGAGGAGGGCGTGCTCGTGCTGTGTGAGGAGGCGACCCGCAACACCTTCCGTCTGGAATGTGACCTCCGTGTCGAAGTACCGGAAGGACAGGCCATCGTTTCTGTGGAGGGGAGAGAGAGGCGTGAGGAAGGATGACTTGATAAGTTGTGTACATCTGTTGTGAGGGAGGTGGTTGACAAAGACGTATTCCATAGCAAATAACAGGAGTGCTCAGTCATCGTTTAATAAGTTCCTTTCCTGTTCAAAAACAAGATTAATAGTTTATTCTGGCATTTCCATCGTTCATTGCAGCCCATCTTCATAAAACCAAAGAATGACGATCATTCTAGAATTGTAATCGTTCACTTCGGCTCTGTCCAGTTATTTACCCAGCTCATATGTAGTGTATGTGTCTAAGCTGGACTATATGAACGTGCTGAAACTAAATGATAAACTAGGTGATTTTAGGTAGATAAATGGTCATATGGCAGCAAAGGGAACACAGGGCGCGAGAGAACTCAACTCCTTCATTATCATATATTTAGATAAAGTGTAGACTCTCCCTTATGTATACGATCATAAATAACTTTACTAGTCTGTCTGTTAGACTGACAGCAGACAGCTTCGCCACCCAAATCCACCACCCCCACCCACATCCACCACCCCCCACCCATCCACCCCCACCCATCCACCACACCCCACCCTCCACCACCCCCCACCCCATCCGCCACCCCCATCCACCCCACCCATCCACACCCCCACCCACATCTACCCCCACCCACATCCCCACCCACATCCTATTACAAATCCTACTACCCACATCCACCCCACCCACATCCACCACCCCCCACCTACATCCACCACTACCCATCCACCACCCCACCCACATCCACCACCTCCCCACCCAACATCCACCCTCCCTTATCCTAGCCCATCCACCCCCACCCATCCACACCCATCACCCCACCCACATCCACCACTCCCCACCCACATCCTACCCCCACCCATCCACCACCCCCACCCATCCACTCCCCTCCACCACCCCACCCCACATCCCACCCTCCCCACCCACATCCACCACTCCCCACCCACATCCCCTCCCCCATCCCACATCCACCCCCCACCCACATCCACCACTCCCCACCCACATCCACCACTCCCCACCCACATCCACCACTCCCACACACGAGAATTTACCTTCAGCCCCTCACAAGATTTGCCAAATAAACAACGCCTCGCGGCCCCACATAAGCAGGGGGTTCCCAATGATAAGTCCTTTATCCGCACGCCGACACATGACGTCACCTTGGGCTTGCTTACCTCTGCTGAGACCCGGAAGAAAATGTTAAATAAATGAGAGAAAAGAGAAAGATACAGAGGAGGAGAAGAAGACAAAAATAAAATAACAAGAATAAAAATAAGTACAAAAAGAAGAGAGGATGTATATGTAAAGATATAGATAGAATAAAAAGGAGGAAGAAGAATGGAAAAGGGGAAGAAGATAAATAAAGAAATGTAAATAAGAAAAACATTAGAAAAAATCAAGAAAACGAGAAGAGAGAAAATGTGATGAGAATAGGAACAAGAATGTCAGGGTTAGTCCAGGATGTATACGTGTGTGTGTGTGTGTGTAGAATATGTTGAAGACACAGGTCCCAATTCTGAAGCAGACGCGTATATCGAGACAGGTGCAGACGCTCACGCCGGGGATAGCATAAAAGCTCTCCTTGGCCTTGTGGGAAATAGTTACTGAGATAGAGGTGTTTTAAGAAGTCGCTGGCAGAGGAGGGGGAGAAGTAGATGCTTGTGGAGGAGAGGAAGGAGAAGCAGAAAAGGTAGAAATCGTCGCTTGCAGAGGATAAGAAGAAGGGGGGGGGGTTGATGTAACAAGAGGAGGAGAAGAGGGAGGGAGGGAAAAGAATGAAGAGGAGATACAGTAGGAGTGAGAAGAGAGTGAGGCAGGCAGGAACGGAAGGTGAGGCAGTAGGTAATAGGTACTCACAGTGTCTCGGTGGGGTGGGGGTAGTTGAGAGGCAGGGAGGAGTCGTCAGTGTAGCCCAGGTCCTCTTGTTGCTGCTGCTGGTCGGTGAAGGAGGTGCTGGTCGGGTCCCCACTCCACGGACCTCCGCCTGACACTGTCGAGGGAACATCAGTATTAAAAGTTTTCATAATGTGGATGCTGTAATGACTATGTACCGAAGATAATAGAATTAGTAGTTGCTTAATGTTGCGTTAGTGAGTTCATATGAAATAATTACTGCTGACGAACAATTACTGAAACCATTAAAGACAATTACTGCTAGCCATTAAAGCTAAAAACATGGTTAATTATCAACTGATTAATCTATGTATTTATTCAAATGTAATTATCATGTAGAATTTTTGTGGGTGTCACAGATGGTGAAGGTGCCCTTGTTGCCCTGACCCGCCTCAAAACATTGATGGTTTTCTCCCGGGTTTAGTATCAATATTTATTAGCCATTCGTATGTTTATATTACTGAGTAAAGCTAATTGTTTAATGATATGACACTGTCTGTCTTTGTCTGTCTATCAACATTTTAATGAGCGTAACAAATGAATTTCCATTCACTAATGACAATGATAAATACCACACCAGTGTTTTGCCATCAAGAACCTTATTGATTCTTGGGTCAGAGATCAAGATTATATTTATTGAAACTAGAACTTCTAAGCCGTAATACAAGTTCCTGTGTACCAATGAACATATTATTGAGGGAGTTAAGTTGTGCCAGGTCTAGTGAGGTCAGTATCTCACACAACTGTAACTTGTGTTAAGTAGAGAGCGGGTCGTGTGTCATTTGTTGACGAGTTTCCCAGACTGTCCAGTGGTGTGGTAATGACGTCATCAACGTGGTTTCCACCGTACACACTTAAAAGTTTTACAAATTACTGCAAAGTGAAGTCATGTACCATCGTGGTCTAAATATTATTGCACAGTTCAGTAATATAATGTGGAGACTTTGTTGGCTGAAAACATTTTAGATACATAATGTAGTTTCAACACAATGATTTGTTAATAAGGCTGGCGAACTGTGTTGCACCTGTGAGATCACTTTCACGCTCTTCAACTTCTAAACGACAGTATTGACAGTGACAGTCACAAACAAATCTGTATTTTCAGTCACCTTAACCAGTATAAACATTGACTCCTTTTGGCTGGGCCTGTGTTGTTAGAAGAAATTGTCTACACTTGATTTACAGTGATTTTATATCTGGCATTACTGCTAATGTGTGTGTGTGTGTGTGTGTATTACTTGGACTGTTGGCTAGTGTACAAGTGTTCGGGTCAAGGCCGGGGACACAATGAGTTGGCAGGTGACCCAGCCCGTGTTTATTGTGGGCAGGCAGAAGCTCTTATCGATACATGATAGCCACAGATAGTTTAGCTTTAGGAGGATGGGTGAACAAACTGATGGTGAAATACACAAGAACGACGAGTGTGTACGCGTGCGCACACAAACCGTACTCACGTGGCCAGGTGCCCGTGGCGACGTACAAGAAACAGAAGCAGGCAGCAAGGACGACTCCACAGCAGGGACCCTTCTTCATCCTGGCCAACATGACCCCGCACCTCCACCGCTTCTCCTCCTCCTCCTCAAGCTTCTACTAGTCACTTGTACTAGTCCAGATCCTAGAAGCCAGTCATCAGGGCTTACTCATGGCATAAAGTCACCTCGGGGTACTGTTCAAAACCTCGGCGCTGGGGGGGGGGGGGTTCTTGGTGAGGATTAACAGGTTACTTTCGCCGTTGATTGGGGCTTGGAAAGAAAAAAAAATCTCGGGGCCCAGCGTAGGATTGGCAAGTTCTCAGGATCCAAGTCAGAACCCTGGATGTTACTTAGGACCAATGAAATATGTCGAACCGATGGCAGAACACAGGACACCCCCTTCAGAGAGCGAATGATGGAGAGGAGAAGCAGCAGCAACTGATCTGCGTGGTGGGAGTGGAGGAGGGGGAAGAGCGGATGTGTGTGTGTCGTCGAGATAACACCTTGTCCGAACTTTCTTGTCCAGTTTGTGGTTATTGGTCCAACGCCTCGCACACACACACACACACACACACATACATACACTGCAAAGGATAAAATAACACGAGTGAATATGGCTACACCTCTTAACTAGGAAAGTAAATTGTTAGTAAATAATGTGTTGAAAAAGTACTTCAATATTGTGGAGTTTTGCGTAGTCAAACCCCAAGGGATTCTATCAAATGTATCAAACTAAAACACGAAAAAAGATTGGACCACTACAGTCAGATACCGGCGAGCTAACTGATAACGACGGAGAAATGAGCAATAATCTGAATAAATATTTTTCAACAGTTTTTACCACCGAAAATTTAAACATGATAACCGAGGTACCGACTCTATACAGAGATAGTGACGAAAATAAATTAAGCTCGTTAGCCGCTTGGGCGATCGGTCACGTCTCTGTTACGCACTGTTGGCAAGTACTGGGCATGTACTGTGACCCCTTGTGGGGCGGACGTCCATCTACTCTACAGTCCATCCACAAAAGGCCTGTCGCCTCTCCTGAACCACGAACCCCGAGATTCAGATTCGTGAACCCGAAGCAGTAGGCACTGATGCATTTTCTATCTATAAATACCTCAGTTTCACTAGTCTGAATCTTGGGGTTTGTTGTTCAGGAGGAGATAGTACTAGATAACCATTCAATTAGTCGGTTATATTAGAGTATAACTTACAATAGGATCAAGTAGTGAATAGTTCGGTTATAATGGAATAATTAAGCAGTGACAACCCAATTACTGAATTAAGGGTATCCAAGGGAAGAAGTATTGATCTATTAACACCTTCCTTTGGCTGTCCTAATCCACTTACTGTTCACCATTGTTTATATACTTGCTGAACCGATGTGAACTTGTATGTCAATTTTATCAATCTATCTATCTACGTGTACAACAACATCCACACGACCGTAAAACAAGACGCATTACGTTCATGAAGACGAATGAGGGGGAACTTTTACGGGGGGAATAGTGAAGAAAGAGGCCTTGTGATGGATGGATGCCAGTTAGAGAGAGAAAGAAAGAAAGAAAGAAAGGAGGGAATGGATGGGTGGTGAAACATGAGATAGCCAGCTGTTTCGTGGAGGGTAGTGGAGGGAGTAAGGGAGGCAGGGATATGAAATGCTTGTTGGGGGTTAGTGTTTGTATGTAAAGTAAGTCAATAATGTGGCAATCATTGTGACCCACATAACCAGAACTTCTGCCTTACACCGTTAAGTCGAATCAAGAGCAAAATTTTCTAATTACAATCTTCACACTAAAAGAAACACTACGGGAAGGACAGAGATGAAGTTACATTGTCGTAAGGAAAAACAAAAACAAATAAGACACAGTAGAGGATTGTAGTAAAGAAAAAATACAACAAAAGAGCATCGACTATAAAAAATTCAATAGGGAAGACATGACACACTTCCACATCTCATCCCCCAAAACGAGTTAAATCTCTATAATCTTGGTCCATTGATTAACAGTCCCCTTCACTAGTGCGTTTACAGGGCTCATCATATAAACATTCCACAAATCATTATCTTTGAGATATTTGTTTTAATATTGTTTTAATTTGATTCCATAGTATGTTTACAAATGCAAGTTTCCTTCTGTCGAATGTAACCAAACACAGGGCTGCCACACTGCACAAAACCTGACGAGCCCCTGTAAACGCAATAGTGAAGGGGAAGAGCCATCACCACAACTACCCTCCCTCGGTAGGTGCTGTGTAGGAGAGGATGATAATAACATTAGTTTAGGTTATCAGTCGACGGATCACCATCCGTCGACTGATAACCTAAATATGACCGTATGTAAATATGACCGTATGGACGTATCTCTTATCTACCGGTTGTTTGTTGGATTTGCGCTGGCAGAAGACACAGGTGTTTATATCCGTGTTGCGTAATTGTCATAATCTTATCATCACTGACACAAAATGGAACGCGAGATGTATTATTTCTCGTGTTGGCGCTGAAGACCATTAAGTACTGCTGGTTAATGTGTCTCGTGTGTGTGTGTGTGTAACAGTTGTGATATGAGAATTGGGTGGTCCGCTAATGTGAAGGTGTGGTGAGTGGAGCAGTGCCAATTGTATTGTTGTGGTGTAATAATAATAATATTAATAACAACAACAGCTATAATAAGAGTAAAGAGCACAATGATGAATAAAAAAGTATACATATAAATAAATGCATAAAAAAGAGTATACATGAGAGACAAAGAAACAAACACTGCTACCTTAAATATACTGAAGCACTTATCATTAATCTCCTTCACTGTGATATAATAATGGGAGTATTTTTATTACGCTATTTAAGGAACAATTTTGATCATTACATCAATACGTCCCCTGTGTTCCCCACCCCGTTCACACACACACACACACACACACACACCCTTTGTTCCCTGGTGTTAGTGGGTGACGCCTTGCTGAGTGTTTTTTGTTTGAGAAGTGACTTATCTGTCTGTCTGTCTGTCTGTGAGGTTGATGTGTGACGTGAGGGTGTGGTAAGACGTCTGATATGAATCATTGCCTATATAATGAGACTCTGCTTATCTTGCATGTTTGAGACGACCTTTGAGAGACACAGTACATTGCCTCTCTATGGGGGACAGTAATCAACACAGACTCATGACATAATAGGTATGGTAAAGATCTTTTGAGTTGGTCACGCTCTCTCTCTCTCTCTCTCTCTCTCTCTCTCTCTCTCTCTATCTCTCTCTCTCTCCAATTACTTATCGTTCACTGCGACGTTTCCCTTTTAATCCCTTGAGTACGATGGGTGTAAGGTCCTCGTACTCAAGGGGTTAATGCCATCGTACACAAGGGATAAGCGAGTCAAATTATAATCAACTCTTACGTTTCAGTCTTATCACACACACTCATAATCGACTCCCCTTGTGCCTTTTAGGCGTCACAGCACATCTCCGGTACCTTCTTAGTGTGGCCATAATCAACTTTGATCGACAGTCGATCTATGGATTCAACAACCTCCCCCACCCATCCATATCCCCAGCACATCTCTGGTACCGTCTTAGTGTGGCCATAATCAACTTGACTTACCCCCTCCCTTCCCAGATCCCCAGCGCATCTCTTAGCGTAGCCATACCGCAGCAGGCAGCCCTAGCGTATAGCGCCACAAGAGAGCTACACATACCTTGCCTCGCAGTCCTTACCCCCATCCGATTAAAGGCCAGGAATATCACGCAGACCCACTAAGACGCTGCCAACTGTTTTTTGCTGTTCAGACTGTCTCTTAAGCAGATGACGACGGTAATCTCTCTCTCTCTCTCTCTCAGTTCCGTTCTTCACGTGCTTTCTTAGTCTGTGCCACATCTCAAGTGTTTGGGGTATGCGATTGAAACTTGGTGTGTGTATGTGTTTAATTACGAAAGCACACACACACACACACACACACACACACACACACCTACCTGTTTGCCATATTTTCCAACTGGCCATTTTAATGATCAGCAAAAGCAGAGGTTGGGTGGTCAGAGTTTGCACCAGGTGTCGTACACACTTGGTGACACTCACACCTGGTGTCATTACACACTTGGTTCACCTCATGACAGTCACAGTGTTGGGAAAAGCATAAGGTGCGTAACACATATCTTCAAACAATTTCAGGTGTAATCTTAAGTGAATAAACTTTAGCGGAGGTTTGGTAAATTTGCATATATATCTGTGGAAGTGAAAATTGGCTAAACGACCCGTGAATATACGAGAAGTTTGAGGTGACGATATGAAGGCTAGTGTACGGTTCATTATTTAGTCCTTAGTAATCCTTCTATCCCCAGTTGTTTCCTTCTTCTCTTTAGTCCACTTGGATGAAATATTGTCAAGGTCGTCCGTTGTTATCCGTCGTCGTCCGTCATTGAACCAACTACATATTCAACATTTTCCCAACTATTAAAGCAGCTCCCTTAGGCTTGAACCTCTACCATATAAAGCGGTTGTTAAGCGTAGAGTGTAAGGCCAGATATTATGGCCATACACTCCAACACTATATCCTCGACTGTGAGAAAATAAAACCTTTTAGGGACAGGTCCAAGCTTACTCTGTGTACAATGGCACGTCACTTTATCTCTGACGGCAAGATATGGCTGACGTATTACGACCCCTGTATATAGTACATAAATAAATACAGTAAACAATGTAATGGACATATTCTGTAATACAACTAATATATCCTAACCACTTTGTCACCTCTGCTGTGTAACCTTTTTTCTTTGTGCTAAGGCTTACAGGATTAGTACAGGGTGTACAATAAACTAGCTGTTGTCTGAGGCAAAGTTAAAATTCACTGTCACACACTACTGTACCTACCGCTACACACTGGTCCACACTAATGCACACACTACCGACCGACACCGCTACACATTGGCACACACTTCCTTCTCATAGACCAATTGTAAAAGTTGCCAACGAGTTTATTACGGGACATCCATACACAACGATACTCTGGTTCCGACATTTGCTTTCTGTGTTCCTTGTGTTATTTGTTACTTTTACGTTACCCCCTTTTCACTTGTATTACTTGTTACTTCTGTTATTTGTTACTCATGCTACTTGTGTTACTTTTACGTTACTTTTTACTTGTATAACCTTTATGCTACCTTTTAACTTGTGTTATTTGTTACTTAGATTAATCGTTACTCATGCTACTTGTGTTACTTTTACGTTACTTTTTTCACTCGTGTTACTTGTTACTTGTGTTACTTGCTGGTCGGAATAACAATAAACAGTACAGTCTATAACGGTGCCGAGTCCCACTGAAAATATAACATTCTCCGTTATATCGAGGCTCATTACAGTAAGACCTCTCTTTAACGGAGTATACCCGTTAGATTGATGTCTGTTAAAAGGGTAAAACACCAGCCAACAGACAAACACTCGATCATCAGAATATACCCACTACATACTGGCATACTATTTCACCTTAATATATATGTATCTTTAGTCACGACATACAAACATACTATTTTATCTTCATTTATGTATAAAATGTATTTTTCATCACAATATACAAACATACGATTCCGTAATGACT